GCCATCTCTAGTAGGTTGGAGGCCATCGCTATTAGGTTGAAGGCCATTGCTAATAAGTTGGAGGCCATCGCTACTAGGTTGGAGGCCATTGCTACTAAGTTGGAGGCCATCGCTAGTAGGTTGGAGGCCATTGCTACTAAGTTGGAGGCCATCGCTAGTAGGTAGAGGCCATCGCAATTATGTTGGAGACCATCGCTATTAGGTTGAAGGCCATTGCTACCATTGTTATCAATTGAGTTGGAGGCCATCTCAAAGAATGAACCTCCGCTGCTGAAGATCATTGTTTCTGTGTCCGATCTCCCGATTCCCATCTCCGCCTCACCAGGCTCCAAGCCAGCCCTGAGCGAAGTAAACTCTAAGGGAATTCTGCAATGAAGTATTCTTCTTTTCTAGGGCTCTTTGGACGATTCTACTCTTTGAAGCCTTGTTAAAGATTCGTATTCTTTTCCTCAATAACATTCTTCTTGGTGTCAACTCCATGTCTCTGTTGTGCCAAAGAGATTGCAACCGGGAAGAAGGGACGATTGTCAACTGCACCAGTTTGAGCAGCCAACCTACATCACCAAAAACTCGCAAACACTTCTGTCCTCTACAACATCTCACTCATGTGTCTCAGTTCAGTGGTTTAACTCACGGTGTTCATGCTTTGACATGAAAGTCCTTGTGTTTTCACTGGATGCCGGCCAGGGCACTTGGTAGAAAGAACGCCGCTTGCTTGGAATCTTAGGGCCTGGCAGTTGTGAGAACATGGGATGAAACACAGGAAACAACTACTCTGGACTCTGAGGAGCTGATTGGTGTGCTGTTTCGCCTCGCATGCCCAACAAGGCTTAGAGCCATTAGAGCTTGGGAGCGGATTCTTGAGGACTATTTGCGGAAGAACGCACTCTTCTTGGACTTTAAAAGAATCAATGATTTGTGCCCCAGGGAATTTTGACGTTTGTCGTGTAATTTGGAATGTCTTCCTCAATCCCTCTCAGCGTCTGTTGAGGCGGAAGCCTGCACCAGCAAGAAAGAGATGGACAAGCAAAAGAGCTCGTCCTGAAAGGCAACGCAAATCCAGTTTTTGTTTGACATGTCCTCATCCTAAATATGTCTTGTGGGGGACATGTCATTGGCATGTCAACTACTGTTTCAGGAACCTGGAAATCATACGCCCACTTGTCAAGTGTCGAGGTGCCATTCTGCTACAGCTCAAGACCCATGTATAAAGGAAACAACACTGGAGACGCAGGGGACCCTCGACAAAAAGTAAGTGCATGCATGACGCAGGCTCGAATAAGTAGCTTAAAAGTCATTCCTGGGTAAATATATGTCTCGTGCTTACTATAACAACAAGTGAATTACTACTACTGTAGTAGCAAAAGGCTACTAGTCAAAAAGTACATCGCTAATTACTAGTAACAAGTGCATTACTACTAGTCACAAGAAGTTACTAGTAGCAAGTGCATCGCTACTAGTAACAAGTGCAGTACTACTAGTAGCAAGAAGCTACTATATAGTAACAAGTGCATTACTACTAGTAGCAAGAAGCTACTAGTAACAAGTGCATTGCCAGTAGTAACAAGCGCAATACTACTAGTAGCAAGAAGCTACTAGTAAGAAGTGCATCGCCACTAGTAGCAAGAAGCTACTAGTAGCAAAGCGCCTCGCTACTAGTAACAAGTGCATTACTACTAGTAGCAAGAAGCTACTAGTAACAAGTGCATCGCTACTAGTAGCAAGAAGCTACTAGTAGCAAAGCGCCTCGCTACTAGTAACAAGTGCATTACTACTAGTAGCAAGAAGCTACTAGTAACAAGTGCATTACTACTAGTAGCAAGAAACTACTAGTAACAAGTGCATTACTACTAGTAGCAAGAAGCTACTAATAGCAAAAGCTGCTCAAAAGTCATTGCTATATGTCTTGTGCTTATGATAATTGAGGCCCTTCAGGAACTTCTCTGGACTAACTATCACTACTTGCCGTTCTGGCCACACGTTTCCCTTGAGTCCTCAGATTCAATTGCGTTCTCATTCCACATTTCAACCTCTGCACTTTCAACGAGGGTCTGCTCTTTGGAAGTTGAGGACCCGTGAAGGGTTTTCAAGGCTAGTCTTGCTCCTTACTGACAACAGAACACAATCTCTACTTCTACTTGGCTTACTCGTCTCGACTGCATCATCTAGCTAGCGTCAAGCATGCCCTTGCAACGAGCACTTGGAAGAGTTCAACAGCCAAAATACCCGAAACACTTGATCTTGCCCAGGACTGCATGCAAGACCTTCACCCCTTTCCAAGAATGCTTTCTAAAGAACTCAAACTGTTGGTACCGAACGGTTTTGTGCTTCTCCGCACCTTGAATGTCCATTCTTTTGTGACTTCAGCTCACTCTAGTGGCCACTAAAGTGCGCGTGGGCTCCTGCAGGAGTCCCTGCACACGTCTCTGCAGTTTTTTGGGCCTCCTCACTGGGCCCTCATCGTCGGACTCCATATCACTTTCGTCGCCCCGTGGCCGCAGCCGAGCCGAGACCCCTCGGGTGGAGGGGGGTGGACGGAGTTGGCTCGTCCAAAACGACAACAACCAAAAAGCAAAAACACATGTTTCTATTTTCTTAGCCCTCTCCCCCCTCCCTATTTAACTAAGTAGGCGCCTACTTAAAAGAGAAATGGAGAAACTTGTTGGCTATATACTAGGAATAGGAAGCTCCTAGCTAGGACGCAGGATAGCTCGCGCTTCTTCAAAGAAGCTTCCCCCGCCTGAGCTTCCTTAAAGAAGCTCACGCACTAATGATTTGGTTTCTAGATGTTTAGGGAAACTAAGATGTTTGAAGGAAAAGGGCTATTCGATAGGGCAAGTCATGAATTGGAGACCTGGACATCCAGAGTCTCGAACGTCATAAAAAAAAAGCTTTTTGTTGTAGGAAGGGTACCATACGCCCTAGCAGCTAGTGGTTGCTAGTAGACGCAATGGAGCAAGTGTTCTTCAAGGAAGCTACTCCCCACCCTCCCAGCAAGGGAGCCCCTAGTAGCGTCCTTGCTCCTAGTAGTAAGGCCAGGAACCCCTAATAGCGTCCTTGCTCCTAGAAGCGATGCCAGGAGCCCCTAGTAGCGTCCTTGCTCCTAGTAGTAAGGCCAGGAGCCCCTAGTAGCGTCCTTGGTTCCTTCTGTTTGGAAGAAATCAGACTTTAGTGGCAGCTGAGACTTGACATCTCGGGGCGGCACAGAAAACCAACAGCAAGAAGAGCACGTTCAACAACTCAGCTCCGCTCCATTCTGGATCAAAATGCAAGCTCTGTGACTGGTTGTTGCATCAATTTCATCAACTTCTGCCAATTGCTTTAGACTTGCTTCCGAACGGCGCAGCGTAAGAGGGTCGTGTCATGCGGATTAAACCTGGTACCTCTGAATCTAGCAGCTGGAAATTGTTCTGCAAGGGGAACCTTCACCTTGTTTTGGTCACAAGATCCTTGACATACCCACCTTGTTCGCTTTAAATCCCACGGTTCAATCCTGGACCCTTCAAGTTAGCAATCAAGCAAGTCTGACGGCATGTTTGAGTCTCCCAAACTTCAGTGACTTCTCAGTCATCCATGTTCATGCTTGCATGCCTTCACTGCCTTCATACTTCTTCTCGTCTCTTTGGCATCCTTCTGCCCGGCTTTAGGCTCTCAGGTCCTGACCACTGCAAGTAAACCTCAGAGTGGCTTCAGTGACTTCGGGGTCTGTCAAGTCTGACTGATGGTTCAAATGGTCGCCTAATGGCAATGGCCTTCAACCATGATTCAAATGCTCCTGGTGGTCCTCAAGTGCTGCTTGAAGCATAGGTTACAAAGACTGACGGCCATTGAACAAATGGACAGGTGAGCTTGCGTCGAAAGTAAGATGCCAGGTTTGAACATATATATAACTATGGCACAACGTAAAATAAAACCGGGAGGCGCTCAAAACAAAATGACATGAGTCCCCGTTCGATGCCACACATACGCAGAGAGTTGTCCGTTTCGTTTCCCCCAATACAGACCTCAAACATCAAGCACAAACAAAATCCTGCAAGAACACCGACTTGAGGCCGAGGGTAGGTGACGAAAGCTAGCAGGGTGCATCCGGACTGGTGGGACATCAAGCGGAGTGAGGCAAATGCTCATGAGGTAAAACGTTGTGAACATGTAAGACACACAAACAGCAATGACACAGCCAACCTTAGAATTGAAGTCCCCGATAATTAAGGAAGCGTGGCTGGACTTTGCCACACTGTTCGATGCATCCGATGTGTTCACGAACCTGTGAGCTTGTTGAATCTGTTGCACCGTATCCCAAAACCTCCACGGAGGAGTTGAACCAGTGTGGATGCCATAAGAGGTGCCCAAGAGGTGTCCCAGAGGCAAAACAAAGCTGCTTGCATGATTTGTTTGGTTTCTTCTATCGATGTCGATGTCATGAACATGTGAGCTTGTTGAATCTGCTGTTGCATCGTCATGTATATGTAATGAGGGACTGAAGAAAAGCAACGCAGCATCATGAGCATCACGGGAAGTCACAAACCAGGCGTATCAGATACACCTGGTTTATGTATGTTTGTTTGAGCATCTTTGTCGAGTGAAGTGTCAGCCATATGCACTGAGATGCCGAAGGAAGCTCAAAGGCACGTGTATCTGATACGCCTGGTTTCTGACTTCCCGTGATGCTCATCATTGAAGCCTTGAACCCTCGCGTAAATTTCATGTTTCATGCCCCCCCTTCCAAACTCAAACAGTGGCCTACTTCACCTGCCACCTAAACATAGCACTGTAGCACGTACCGGAAGCGTCCCAGGGGGGAGTTGAACCCGCGGGGGG